ATTGATCAGCAAGACATAACTAGTATATTGCAAAGTGTTTTGGAATAGTGACAACGGTTTTGGGGGCCGGTAGACTGTGGCGCACGGCCCCCCCTCAGGTGTGGGATTCCTCGTGACAGCCCGGGTAGGTGTCTGGGTACTCTCGGGATGTTTCCCGGCTGGTCCGTGTCTGCCATGAGCCCAGCGCTCGTAGGTGAGGGTGTCAGTCGCTGTCCCCTGCCGTCAGGTGCCTCGGGCCGGGCAGGTAGGCCCCTTCCTCTTTTCTTGTCTGATGTCCTGTTTTTCCTTATTGACCTTCAATGCTTGCCGGTAATAAGCAACCGGACTGGTGCCCCCCAGAATAGATGGGGCGAGTGTGTGTGTGAAAAAAAAAAAAAAGGTCACAAGCAACACCACACCCGATGTAGGAATCTTTTTTTTTTCTTTTTTCCAAATAGGAATCTTAGCAACATTAATCAACGCCCATCGCAGCTTGAAGCCCGTTGTCAACGACGGGGGCCGACACCGGTCACGAAGTCAATTGACGCTCTCCTGGAAACCTGCGCTCTTCGATGCACATGCGATTCTCATCTCCCTATGTCGACTTGTTTCCGTATCAAAGCCAGGGGTGCAAAGCCCTTGACAGGTTCCATATATTGATATATACGGCGCCTAGATCCTGGCCTTCGGACTACCACACATCTCCCTCCTTCCACTCGACCCCCCCCTGAGCCACCAGTACTGTGGCTTGGTCGGCCCTGCTGGGGACCCCATTGCATTCGGGAGGTCCAGAAAGAATAAGCGGGCAGGGTACGTGGTGGTTTAATGGGCCTCGCTCCACTACTCACCAAAAGTGCGAAATGAGAACGAATCCTCCGCTAGAACATGGGAAGATACACCACCATTTTATTTTTTACTTTTTATTTTTTTTTCAGATACAAAATAAAAAAAACTGGACCATGTATGTACGGGGTCAGCACAGTACCTGCACTGGTTCTACAGCAGTCCATGCTTCTTTTTTTTTTTTT